TAATTATCAGAATGCTGTAACAAAACATAAAGAAGCAATGTGAGATTGTTTTCCACAGATACAGTAACAGAACAGTATGATGAACTCTTCTGGTGTCTTCTGGTATGTACGTTTTGGGGTTAGAATGGGGGTAGACCAACATTAGCAAACACATTATGGAGCGATGCAAAGTAGGAAACACAGAACCTTTTCAGGGTCGTTGCAGACTAAAGGAATCAGAGTCTGGGGTTCGGTGGCCATGGCACTTTCATCAATCAGGATCTGACGTGCACTGACAGTAGAATGGAGGATGGGGGTGGACGACTGAGTGCAAGTACATAGTATGACATCATGTTGTTTTAGTTCGTATATCCGAGCCTCTTTGAGAAGTTTTTTGTATCTGTGTGGAAATAAGACACAAGAAACGAGAAACATTGATGTTTGTATTCTGTGGCTTTTTCCTTATTCAAGGGGTTAGCATGAAAACGGTCTCAATGTTTGAATCAAACAAACTTCATGCTGCATAGTTACTTACTCTTTCACCTCGTCAGAAGTCAAATCATCCCCACGACTAATACGTTCATCAAATTTTTTTATTTCATTTGACGAGGGGTTCGCCGGCTCACGCATGCGATGATGCATAGTGATGGCCCTATAATGATTAAACACCTGTAAGAATTGATAGAAAGCCTCCAAAGCAGTAAGCAGCTCTGGCTAGCTGTGGTACGGCTAACAGGGCAGTACCTGAGCTCTGGCTTAGAACGTTCCTGCCGAAGTGATCTGTGGGAAAACTGCAGGTCACAGTTTGGGTAAGGATATTCAACAGCCTCTACTTGCTTGCCATAAATCCTGAGAATCCGAAGTGTTTTTCCAAACTTCATCAAGTACTCTGTTCAATAACAAGATAGACATAGATCCCAAATGACTCATAAAATTAAATAATGATGCAACAATTGAACCAAAAGCAATCTAAACAATACCTTTAATAGTAAACTTACCTGCAACAACGTCAACAGACTTGTTGGAGGGACCGCAGTAGAGAATGACTTCTTTTTTGTTTCTGTCCTTTGGGTCTTTGTAATTCCTGGGGCTCTCAGAGTTTAACTTCAGAAACCAGTACACAATATTCACACCAACAACCGTCTTCCCCGTTCCTGTCAGTTACATTAAGCACATCTATGATATTGCAATGTAAAGTCAGTGATAATTAACATGTTTCAGCTCCTACCTGGTGGACCCTGTATCACGGTGAAAGTTCTGTTCAAAGCATCTGTAACAGCACATAGCTGACTGTCATTAAGCTCTGGAAGTCCTGCTGGTAACCTCATTTTGGCAACCTGGTGTTTCAGCACACTTTCTTTTACAACTAGAAAAGTAAAGCAAAGAACACATTGCTTTGACTTGTGGAGTAACAGGGGTATCAGTACTTGTTCCACTTATTTAATCATTTTGATCCTGTTCCTTCAAGGATAGAAATAATTAATGTAAAGTTGTGTGCTGAAGCAGCACCTCATGAGCTTTTGAGCATCCATGACATCACCTCATAAACCGCACACCTGCCCCCACAAATGACAGAGCAGGTAGCCAACCAACCAAAGAGCCCACCCCAGCCACACATCCATATAGCACTCTCATACCCAAGGCTGCCAGGCAATCACAACCAAGGTAGCCTACCCCCCTAGCCCAAGTTTGGTATGCCAGCCACCTGAGCCCAGGTTCCAGACACCCCTTATGTCCCCCCATCAGACTGCAGGCATAAGGTGAGTGCAGGGTCAAGGCAGACAGCAAGGCAGACCAACACAACAAACTGAGATGCATCCGGCGACAGTGGTTGTATCCCAACTGCCGTACAGCCACACCAGTTAGCCGGCTCCCCTGGGATGGGGCCAAACCCTTCAACGAACCAGACCCCCATCCAATGCAATTGTTTTTACCATGGCGACGCTCCAAGGTGATGGCTAAGAGTAGCTTCTCTCAACAATTTCACAAAATATACTGCCTAAAACGATACAAACTAGACATCAAACATGCTTCTATGATTGCCAACGCCTGGTGGAGCTAGGTCACAAAATGTTTCAAATACTGACATTTTTGACCGTTTAAAAAGCTGCGGAGTGCTACGAACGGATGTCAACAAAACAACAGCAGAAAATAACGGACGGAGGAAGAGATGCGCGAGACGGAGAAAGCAAGGCTGCAGAGGGGGGCTAACTGTGAAGCTAAAGAGATATCCCAAAAGAACACTGCTTCCATAAATCCTGCTGTCCAAAGTCCGCTCGTTGGAAAACAAAATGGATATATCCAACTCGAACACCCTTCAAAAAAGGAGATATGTAACTGCTGCACCATCATTGTGACAGGGTCTTGGCTGTGTCCAGCAGTACCAGACGGTGCTGTTGGCCTGGGGGGGCTGATGCTGTACCACAACGATAGGAACAAAGAGCTCTGCATGAATGGAAACTCCTCTGAGACTGTTCCCAAGCAATCTACAGCATATAGAGGGGAAGCACTGCCCTCTGCAGGTGAAAATGAGGAGAGCACTCTAGATGCTTCTATGCCAAATGCTAAAAACATCCCCAGCCAGCTCCTCCTGGCCCCCTCCAGCTGCTTAACCTGCCGATGGCACCACTGCTGCTTCAACCACGTCAGCCTCTTCAACCCAGGGGGGTACCATGATTGTTGACCTTGAGTGTCAAGAAAGGCGCTGTTAAATAAAATGTATTATTATTATTATTATTATTATTACCACCCTCACAGCATCATCATCAACTTCTCTTCCTCCCCTGAGCCAGCAGAAGCAAGTTCTTCAGGAGCTGGAGGCAGTAGTAGCAGCTCAACAACAACTGCTGCTTACATTATCATGGCTGCATTTTAAAAAATGAAATTGTCTAGAGAGCTGTTCTAAACGTAATTTCTTTTTGTCTACACTTGTGTACACAAAATGACAAAATAAATCCGTCTAAGAATCAGAATCCCCCATCCTAGCGGACAAGCGAACAAGACACAAGACATCAAAGCCATAAGATGGGAACCAAAGGCCAGAGATCCCAAGGAGAGCCAGAAAACCCCTCCAAGCCATGCCCAACTCCAAGGGCCAAGCCCCATTGCCACTCAAATCTAGTGGTGTTGCCTTTTGGACTATTATGTATTTAAAACCAGGGGGAGGGTAGGTGTGCAACCCAACCCTAAGTGTCTAAATAAATTTCAACCACAGATGGACATGATCATAAGAAGCAAAGCCAGAAAGGCTCACCCACCTCCTGTGATGTGAATATGCCCACCCTGATGCCTTGCATATTTGAAATTATCCTGAATGCTACATAGGGTGTTAAAATTGGGGTATAGCAAAGCAGCCAATCCCACACCCTCTGAATAGAGTGGACGACAAAGACAAGAACCTGCAGAGAGTTTTGCATTTATTGCAACTCAACGTAAATGACATCAGGTGGAAATCCTGATGTTCCCCCTGCTTAACATGGGTGGAACGGTATCTGATGGGATTCTAAACCCAGAGATGGGAAATTACGAAGTACAAATACTTCGTTACTGTACTCAAGTAGATTTTTCTGATATTTTTACTTTACTGCTTATTTTTATGGCGACTTTTTACTTCTACTCC